ACCGCGGACGACGCGGCAACTCCGAGAACACGGGGAGAAAAAGTAAAAGCCGGCGCCTGCGGCCTGCGTATACTATCATGGAGATCTCTCTTCCCCTGTGTAGGGATGGCGCGAAAGATCCCCTTTGAGAGGTAATAGCTTTTTGACCCCGCCAGCCTTGGTGCTTTTCAATTAGGGGCTCCCCGATGTCTCATCCAGCTTCGACGACTTTTCGGAAGGCGGAATCGGTCGTTGTGCTTTGTGTCGCGAGCCCCGCTAACCGCAGAGCACGGTGTACCACAGAGCAGGTCGCCGTCCCCCGAGTGGGGGTGAGAAGAGCCCTTGCCAACAAGGTCACTGGGTCGGGAGATTGGGGAATGCCCTCGGGGCATTGTTTACATCCGGCGGAAAGGAAAAAGATGAGCCTCCACGGCCTCTTTGAGATTGGTGGGGGGAGGGGAGAAGTTCAACTTTATTTATTTATTATTCTTTCTTTTAGCTGTCCGCGTTGGGGGGGGGGGGGGGGGGTGCAGGGGGGCTGGGGGCCGCACGATACTGCCTCGCGGGCCGGGTCCGGCCCGCGGGCCGCTGGTTGCCGACCACTGCTCTAGAACACTGTACCAGGTTCCTGGGTTCTGCAGCGCGAGCTTTTGATCCACGTGCTCCGAGCTGGTGCGCGCTAGCCCGCTCGGCCACCGATCCCCCTAGAGCCCCCCATATCGTGTTGGATTCGACCAATATAGAGGTCTTGACTAGCTTTAAGACACTTGTGTTTTATTTATGAAACGAATGACTTGGAATGACCATGTACCCCATATTGTGGTAAACATTTCACGGGTTGTTGGTATTATACCGCCATCGCTCTTTTCTACTGGCAGGTGTTAAAATAATTATCTATTAGTCATTACTTCTTTCTCATGTGCTCTATTGTCATCTTTTCTGGGGAAATAGTACTAATGCAAATCTAAATAAGATACTTGTGCTTCAAAAATATATTATGTATTATAAGAAATGTTCCGTATAATTACTTCAGCAGATCTCATTTTGAAAGTTTAAATATATTGCGCGTGTGTAACCTATATAAAAACCGTTTATGCCTAAGTTACAAGTCAAATGCGAGTGGCCTAGCGCACACCAGCTCGGAGCACGTGGAGCGAATGCTCGCGCTGCAGAACCGAGGATCTTGGGTTCAATGCCTATCCCTGCCCGTTTCGATCTGGATAGGCATCGTACCGACGTGCGGTCGTGTATCACTACTACCTGATGCACGTTAAAGACCCCAGGCTAGAAGTTGTACTTCACTGGCTAAATTGTTCATCTACAGCTGGGAGACTCTTCGCTCTTTGAGGCAGACGAAGTTTAGGCTGTATAAACACGCAAACAAACCCAATTTGTTTTTTGTGTTTTTTCAAATCAGGTGTCGTAAGTAACGTATGTCATATTTAGGGTTCGGAGTTTTCGGTTTAAACCGATAAAAACCGATAAAAGTACGCCGAATCCATTTTCAGAAATTCGGTTTTAACCGAAACAGGTCAGTTTGTAGGTTCGCCATTTTCGACTTAAACCAATAAAAGTACGTCGAATTCATTTTCTAAAATTCCGTTTTAATCGGAAAAGGTCACTTTGACCTTTCAGTCGTACCGCAGAGCCGTGGCGAAAAAGTGGAACGACAGTGCCGACCGAAACGTGTCCAAATGGATAAGATACACGGATGCCATCACGACGCTTTGGTTTACTGTGCGCCTCATCAATCGGAACTTGAAGTCCGAAATGCCCCATGACTTCGCCATGTACGAGCCTGTTTTCAAACTCGTTGTAAGGAAGACTGGATGCAAGCTCTGCATGTTGTGCTGTGCTTCAAAACGTCGCACCGTGTCTCTTTTGGCGGTCACAACGGGTTGATTGGCCGATTTTCGCTCAGGCAACGCTTCATCTCCTCAGCCCCCCAGTGTCCAGTGTTAGCGTTAAGAGGGCATTCTCGAAGCTCACGGCCATATTAACAAAAAAGGAAAAGTGCGGATCAACGAAGAAAACCTGGGAAAGTACATGTGTGTGTACTATAATAAGATCACGTAATCCCGATGTACAGAAAGTAAAGTTCCGTGTGTTTTGGGCATAGGGTTCATATCTGACTTGTTTGTACTTCCGTGTTTTTTTTGTTGTTTCTTTTACAGTTGCACACATTTGCCAAATAAAGTATCGATTTCCTTTTCAAGTTATTTGTGCAGTTATTCTTTGAGTGATCACAAATATCAGAGCTACAAGGATCGTCTGATCCGGTGTCCGTTAGTGTTTATTTTAATTCACCGAAAGAAGCCAATAAACTGTTTTGGGCATAAATATACACCGAAAAAAACCGAAAATTGAATTTTAAAATAAACACCGAAAAAAGTACGCCGAATTTTGCAATAATGGAAACCGAAAACGCGGAACCCTAGTCTTATTGTCAAACCAGCACCTCTGACAATGGGATTTCCTACATCTCCCACTCGCAACTTAGAAAGCTAGAAAGTGCCTAAATGCAGAAGAACTTACGGTGAGCAGATGTTATAGAACGTACTTCCCAACCTACTTAGTTAACCGAATGCTAAAAATATGCTTTTTTTAACATCCACGCCGCAAGAAATTCTATCCTTTTTACAAGAATGGAATGTCATGACTATGACCAATCAAAGTTTTACTTAATGGCCTGGTGTGTGTTTAGCTATTCTGTTTCTTCGAAATAAGCTTAGTAACAATTTATTATCAGTGCTGAATCATGTTCTCGATGTCAACGAACAAGTGGTTTTTTGTTGCTATAATTATTCTTTTTTTTTTATGATCGAATTGTTAGAGTTTAATTTGCGCCGTAGCTACTATGTCATATTTTAAATTGTTGACCTGATTCAGTCCATTCTTTATGTCTTGACCTATATGCTTTCTGTTTATTTTGTGGTCTTTGCTGCCCCTGTTGCTGATTGTAGGAGGGGGCCGAGAACTCGTCAAGCTGCATTTATGTTGCTTTTCTTTCTCGGTCTCCTTTCATCACTAATATAATGTGATGGAAATAACATTTATCTATTAATATTTTTATTGTCCAACAGTATAAAAGACCTATTAGCTGAGGCAATGTATGCGGAAGTTCTAAGCACACGTTGTCCCTTGGCACTTAATTTTGAGGGCGAGAATAGAACGAGGGTTTATTTATTTCTTCACACCAAGCAACGTGCGCCTGTCCAAAGCGAACTCAGCACAGCTGCTTGAAGCTGCAGCGTCGAATGGGTCGTTCATATGGGTGGTATTCACTGGCGGCCATAGTTGAGCCCGCTGTCGCAGGGCGGGAGCCCACGATCAGCTTCCATAACGCTTCCGCTTGTAAGTCCCCCTAGAAGAAAAGTGGGGTATCTTCCTGACTCAAGTATAGCGCCCAGTGAATACCACCTATTGCTGAAGACTGTACTTTTATGAGTCACCCCAACTAACCACTCTTCAGGAATACTCGGAATCGACTATTTCCGGTGTGCTGTTCATTAACTCAAAATTCACAAGTTCTTGATAAAACGGCAGTTTAAGGAGATGCCAAAATAAACGTTAAAAATTTTCCCGCGCCCTTCAGTGGAGTGACGCCACATGTTATAGAATTTGCAGGTCGAGCCGGCAGTCATAGAAAAGCAGTGCGTCGCGCCTCATTGTTCTGCTTAAGGTGAACTTCACCCGTATTCATTTCAAAAAATCAAACTGCTTGCAAATTTTCTGGAACAGGTTGCACTGCCGAAATTGCAACTGTTGTCACACTTTCAGTGTTTCCAGTAGAGCGTTTTAGTTAAAAAAAGACCGGTAAAAGTCTGATTCTGAAAAAAATATATATATAAAAAAAAACAGTTTGGTTTAGAGAGAAATGTATTAGATGTATATCTTGGAAGTAATGTTCTTTTGACGCATAATTTGGGTTATTACTGTCGAGACCGGTTTTAACAAAGTCAACGGGAAAGGGAAACCACTTCGCTATACCCGCCATTTCGTTATAACCGACTTCGGTTATAACGAAGTGCAAAAGGGAATGGGATCGCTTCGTGGTAGCCGCTCTTTCGTTATAACCGACTTCGTTATAACCGGTCTTGACAGTATACTCCATTGGAGGTTACGAAAAGCAGGACAAGCCCCTTACACAGAGCGCTCCACTCTTTCCACTGTAGCAGAGTGAATGCTGAAGAGGAGGCGAGTCTACTTTCCTCCTCTCCAGCGTTCGTTCTGTTAAAGAGGAAAGAATAAAGAGCTTTAAGGGAGAAGCTTATCCTGCTTTTATTTACCCTCAACAGAGTATCGTTGAGCCGCGTTTATTGATGTGTTGGACAAATCTTAAAGAAAATCAGTGACCATGAAAAAAAATCGCTTTTAAAGGGCCACTGAAGTTGATTTTAAGATCGTGCTTTTGTGGTGACCACTCAATCTAGGCACTAAGCATCCCAACAAACCTGAATTCACAATCGTGCGTAGCTTACTTTCTCATTAAAAGCGTGTTCAAAGATCGGGACGCCCTCTTTTTGGTAAGAAATTTGTTCAGAATGAAGTGGTCGACGAAGAGCGCTTGTCGGCGAGTCGCAAGCGATGGCTTCGCCCGCGGAGAAAAAGAGGAGTCTTATTCGAATACGTACGTACCAAACTCACTTTGAAACTAGTTATAATTAAATCATTCGAAATCTGCGCGTATTGTAGGGTTTTCATTGGTCCACATAGTGTAGTCCGCGAGAAAAAAGAGTCCACATAATTTTCTTTTGCCCTGAAATGAATAGGCGGTTCTGTAATATAGAACTTGGTATTTGCGGGAACTAACACCTTTTAAACAATATGAGATCAAAAATGACCTTTTTTTAGATATGACTTCAGTGCCCCTTTAAGAAAATGGCAAACAAAAGATTGAGGGAGAAAAGAAAACAACACGAATGTATAGTCGCGGGAGTGAGCAAAAGAGTGACATCATGCGTACTCGGGGCTTGGATAACGCGCAACGGAGGCCAAGGAGCCGCGGTTGAGGTACGTACGTTGCCTAAGGTATCCCCAGCCTGCAACGGTAACCTCCTTGTTGAAGATGTCCACCGGACTCGTCGGGATGCAGATTGGTCGCACCTTCTCGCTGTACTCAATCGGCTTTTCAAGCTGCAAAAAGACGTTTATGCGCGCTTTCACGTTTAATTGACCTTTCTCAAGAAATAGATAAAGCAACACTGGCGGTCGCCATTTTTCGGGCACGGTCAGAGTACGTGCCTAAACAATGGCGGACCCGAATAAGGGGTGCAGTAGCCGCTAGAGTGCGCGCATTCTTGAAAAGGGTATTTCGGGTCTGATAGAACTCGAAACTTTCAGCAATGGTAGTTCCGTGGTGTTATAATCACTCAGTCTTGTTCCTGGATGATAGCGTTTACAACAAGGATGCTTGATTAAACCGTTCCAGCATAGCGAACTAATAAGACTCTAGAATATGTTTCTTATTTAACAAAGTCGGAATTATTTACGCGCTACAGATCTAACACTCCACTACCGTTCAACGTCGATCATCAAGACGACAGCCACTTGGATAGGCTCTAGCGCGCAACCCAAGCAGCACGGATTTTGGCCAAGCAATGGCCAATGGCTGGGTATGGTCTTGTGGCCAGTGGCCAAAGAGTAGCCATTCATTGGCCAATGCTTGGCCGATGGCTGATGGCCAGTGACCATTGGCCAATGGCCAGAAAAAGGCCAGTCATCGGCCAATGGCTGGCCACAGTATGGCCGCTGGCCAAAGGACCATTGCCAGCCATTGGCCAATGCTTGGCCAACTCTGTGCACCTCTAGGTAGTGAAAGGTGATATGCGGCGGCACTCTAGTCATTGAGAGCCTAAAAAAACGCAAGGAGTGGCGAGTCCGCAGCCAATGAGATCGATGCATTAGCCGATAAGAACTCACAACAACCAACTTACAAAAACTAAAGGGAGTTTTTTTAAGTTATCAACGTCAGGGATCAGCTCTTAAGGGTATTTACTGAAAGTTAAAATACAAAGAACAAAGAGCGGGTTGGTGAAAGTCCAAGAGTCCAAGAAAGAATAAAAACACTTAGGGGCAAGGACAGACATGGACAATTGAAAGAGGTCTATGTCCGCGCGCTTCCAGACATAGACCTGACATAGCGCAAACTGAACTCGCATAAATCAGAGAAGGGAGAAATATAAATGCGGAAGGGCTCGAGCACAGGCCCAAGTGGAACGCGCTGATTTACCTTTTAACAAGAAGCAACCAAAAAAAAAAAAAAACACGTCATTTTTTATGTTAGTGAAGGTAACAGATACATGGCTAGTACATAAAGAGAGCTCAATCTCTCTCTCAAATCTACGATTGATTGTCACATACCTATGCACTGTTTACACTACTCGTGTATGTCATCCTTAGGAAAAACGTCAATAATTAGCAGATACTATAAAAACATAGAAGATAATTATTTTAGGCCTTTCTTATTCGTAGTATGGGGCAACCAATGGTGTCCGCACATACGTCGGTTACCTGAGCTGCCGAGGAAATTGTTTTTACAGTATTATGCATATGGGTGAATTAGCACGGCCCATTTGGACCTGTTCGAACTTTTGTTAAAGCTCCTAACGCATTCTTTTTTTTTATTTTCTAATGTATGTGTGTTGGGAGTCCGCACTCGTATGTAGTGTATGTATTCCTAGCCTTTATTCCTTGTATTTTGGGTACTATTTTTCAACATGTTCAATCAGAATGAACTCACCACTTTACTACATGGAAAGGCTGTTGCTAGTTCTAGAGTGTCTGTAAAACAATCTACCTGACATCTTTGCCTCACATCCCGGTTCCTGAAGCTCACATTCTCCGAGTAAAGCCTTTCTGATTTCTCTCATCCTCTTATTTTCTTTTGTGTAATATCAATCGAGTTGCGAATGTACACCAGTCTGCGTCCTACGTGTTTCTGTATTTTTGTCCTTGTCTTTTTGTGCACTTTTTCAACTTGGTCCATGATATTTTTTATCATATATTCTAATCTGTGTTTCATCTTTGTACTTACTGCAGCCTTTCCTAATTAGATGTTGGCATTCACTTTCGCCATCCTGATGTGAGTGACCTGAGACGACACAAAATGACAGTCTCCCCTGCTGAAGTCCTGGCTTCATGAAAGACTGCCAAGGCTGTTCATGGTAAGGTTAGCAATATAACAGCAACTTATTGCTGCTAGGATTGTTTTTGACACAGACTGCATTTATGGGCTGGCCTTTGGCAATTCTGTTGCCACTCACGTGGAATGAAAGCCTTTAGGGAAACTGCGCATTTCATTCGTAAGCGGAAGGCTGAGTTTACAACAGAAGTGCATTGCGTTGCCTTGCGTTGGGGGTCGGTGCCCGACTGGGCAAGCGCACACCATTTGGAGCACGTGGAACGAAAGCTTGCGCTGCAGAATCCTGGGTTCAGTCCGAACCCCTGCCCATTTTGATCTAGAAAGCATCGTACTGGCATGCGTATCACTACTGCGTGGTGCAGGTTGTAGATTCCAGGCTAGCAGTCATACTGCACTGGCTAAATTGCTCAACTCATCGCAACTTTGAAATGGCTCACCAACTACACGCTGTAAAAATATCCACAGAACCCCAACAGAAGTGCGTCACTAATTGCATCCAGTATTGCTCTGTTGTATCTGTATTTTGTATTTGTTTATTTAGTGTTCCCAATAATGGCTGAAGCCTTCCCATTGGTGCGCTTGTTAGTAGCAACACACAAACACAAACAAACGGCGAGAGTGGTGAACACCACCACTTTTACCGCTCGCCGCCGCGCCCATTGGTTTTCGGGGAAGTTTGCAGTGTTAGTGCTTGTGGTATTTGGTCATATATCGCACATGGACAGAACCAGGGCACTGTACCTACAACTCAACACTTGCAAGACTTGCGTGAATACACCCTGTAGGTGCTCGCACTTTCAGAGTCATTTTAATGCTGCAGATATGATAGAATGGATGCTTGGGCGAGTTGATGAACCATATTCTATGGTGACAGCGCAGAAAAACATTCGCACACCACATGCTCAGGAAGACAAGCACACGCGCTGAACTTACAACTCTCGTGTATTCAACTGCTTCGTTCTTCTCTTCAACGTCTAGATTGACTTTTCAGAGTGTGATAAGGAGAATAGCACAAAGTACAAGGAAAGAAGCAAAGAACAGAGGAAAAACAAAAATAGGAAGCTCTTACAAGTCATCCCTCTCCCTCACTACTATCCTTAAGATAGAAATTGGAGCTTTTTGGTCGACAACACAATAGAAGGACTACTTACACACTTGTTCTTCAGATGCTGTATTCTTTGCGCTTCCATTATTTCTCTTGGCAATGGGTCTCGACTATTAACTATTACGGAACAATTTTCAAAATGTGCTACACAACCACACTCCGGACAGTGGGCTCCCAAATGTCCAACGGCGACTCGGTGGGTGTTATAAAAATGCTCCTTTAAACGATCATTTAAACACCTGCCAGTCTGGTCTACATAAGTAGTGTGGTAAGACGTATGTAGGCCAGACTGGCAGGTGTTTGAATGATTCTTTAAGGGAACATTTTTATAATAACCACCGAGTCATCGCTGAGTATTTGGGAGTCTGCTGTCAAGATTGTGGTTGCATAGCACATTTTGAAAATTGTTCCATAATAGATATGATTTCAGACCAATTGACAAGAGAAATAATGAAAGCGCAAAGAATAGAGCATCTGAAGGACAAGTGTGTAAGTAGTCCTTCTATAGCGTTGTCGACCAAAGAGCTTCAATTTCTATCTAAACAATAGCGGTAGAGAGAATGATGATGTGTAAGGGTTTTCTTTCTTCTTTTGTCTTGTCTTTCGCTTTTTCTCTTGTATTTTGTGCTATTTCTTCTGCTTATCACGTTCTGGAAAGTCTATCCAGACGTTGAAGAGAAGAATGAAGTAGTCGAATACACAAGAGCTATAAGTTTAGCGCGTGTGCTTGTCTTTCTGAGTATCTGTTGTGTGATTGTTTCCCTGCACTGTCACCGTAGAATATACAAAAATGAATAATGCCATTGGCATATTTGTCACGCCAAAGCCTGTCACACTTGTTCCGAACTTTTATCTCCACGAGATCACAATACCATCGTTTCTGTTGTAGTGACACTGCATACTTTATACTTGTTTTGCTTCAGTCTTTGTAAGGGGGACGCTGTAGTCCGATTCTACACATCTATGGTGTACTTGACAGCACCATATTTGAAGAGCTAGTCTTCGGTTTTTGTAGTTCCATCGAAATATATTTCAGCTTTTAAGTTATTTGTTATTTGGCATGCACATTTACAAGCTTATCTAGATTGAAGGCAGCAAATATTTTGCTAGCAGTCATGGTACGCGTTTGAAGTATATTGCGTTAACATAATTGACCCAACCTCTGATTTTTATTTGTCAGTGCCTCTAGCGAATTGTGCATGCTAGGATTGCTTTTGTTTGTTTGTTTCACATAATCTACGGCACATTTTTCACCTTTCTACTCAGTGCAGCCCTCGCCGAACAGAAGCTAGCATCGACCAAGCCGAGGTTCAGTCTATGGCAGTGTGCAAAAGTTGTTGATGGGTAAGCTGCCTTATATATACAGCTGTGTAAGAGCAGCTTGTCTTGGGTGACAATTTGAAATGCATTTTTATGTTCTAGAAAGTGAAATTTGCATGGGCATACTTGCAATGTGAAACCTTACCAAGCCTGTTCTGAACTTTCATCCTCTTGAGATTTCAATACACCCGTTTGTGCTGCACACACACTGGCTACTTCGGCCAGACAGAGACTTGATCCATATGAAGGTAAACAGGCAAGTATCAACGGCTCAGTTCCGTGTGTGGTGACGTTCTCTCCTTATCAGACGACTTACCACACTTGGTTCGCAAGGCATTTGAAAAGGAGAGCAAGTCAGCTGCTGGATGATGCTCCCAGTACTGAGCAGTCGACGATTGCTTGTTCACCTTTGTATAGATCACGACTGTGCTTCAAGCTCGGCAAGTGTGACACTTATCTGATTCAGCCTAGCAGTGGTGTGCTGAGCGGTATGTTTAGAGCTAGTTGATTTGTCTATAGACTGTGGCTGTGCGGTATAAAACAGACCCAATTGGGAACTTTAATGCAATCTTTTGTACTCCCATTGATGTTATGATTATGATTACACAACGTTTTATGGTGCAAAAAAAAATGGGATGAAATCGTTTTTTGAGACTGCGTGTGCGATCTCCAAGCTTGTGTTTGTACGTTCTGTGCGGTGAAATGCCCTGTATAAGCAAAATTAGAGAATCCTTGAGCTATATGCTGCAAGGAGTGAAAACAGCAGTCCGCCCGCATTCTCGAACTTCTGTATACTGTGCAAATGCGGACGGACGCGCACTTTGGATGCTTTGCACTTAAAGGCCCCACATAAAGCACACTGCTTAATACGCATCAATTATTGTGAAGTGTTTGCGGATTTGGCTTTTAAATGTCATGCACATAGGAAGCACAATGGTGCTGTAAAGTATGCCGAAATCGTAATGGTGCACTTTAAGGTTTTACAGGGTATGTTCTGCAAAATGCGGAACAAATTGTTTGTGTCAAAACTTTACATCGCCCAAAAAAAGGTATTGTGTTGTCCTAGGCCAGGGGCCTATTTAGAAAAATTATTACAAAACAATGTAGCTAATAATGTGTATATCTGCAGATTATTGTTTTTTTTTCTTCCAATTATAGCATACACGGAGGGTATCTCCAAGGAGAAGGGGTGGGATTATGTAGAGAAGCTAGTGCTTTTCTCTATGGGTACAAAGCTGTCCGAAATAAAGTCGGAATGGAAAAAGCACCACCAAGTTCCGCCTGGTCCTGAGCAGCCACAATAATGAACACAGAATTCAGAAAAATAGTAATATGAATGACCTAGGAAGGCAGCCACACGTTTTGAGTTCGCAATGACATTTGATTATGATCACAAATATTCCTGCACTGCTCAAAGTCGCATAGTTTACACACCATATTGGTTATGGTTAGCGCAGCAGGAATATTTTTTTATCAGGCTTAAACGTCATTTTTAATTGAACAAATGTGGCTTTCTGTGTAAGTCCTTTGTGTTTTTACTCTTTTTTATTTGTGTGTTCGTTATTTCCTTTTTTTCTTATGATTTAGTCCGGGTTTCTGTTACTGATGTGTGCATTATTTATTCATTTTTTTTTATTAAGTTTTAGTTAAAAATATGATGCCCTCGTCATTTTCCAGTCCGGGAAACGGTGGTGACCTCGTCGTGTGCAAGGAGCAGTAATGAACTTTTCATCTTGTATTGCTCCCGGCGAACAATGGTGTCTGTGCGCGTGTGTGTGTGTGACGTGTTGGTCACAAGGGGTGATTTCGGGACTGAACGGAAAAACAAGGCCAGCGAGGAGCGACTGGGGGACTTTAACATCGCACGGTGCAAGGAAGGACTTCAACGACGAGGCTAGCAAGCAAGCCCATGTCAAAACTGCTGTGCTCGACCGGAGAGTTGAATCCGAACTTTACCCTGTGAGTAAGGATCAACGACTTTGGAACTTTCGTATAGTTTACAGCTTAATTGTCGCCTTCCTTTTGTTTTATTTTAATAGGAGTCTGTGTGCTATTACATTTTTAGTTTATTTTAATGGTTGTTCGTGTGATATTACTATTATTTTTTCTTGAACGGCGGAAGTGCTTGTTTGGAATTTTGGCGCTTCAATGTATAAAACTTTTTTTGCAAACCATATCTGTCTGCTCCCTCGACAACCAATCCCGCCAAAGGGCTGTGACTTTCAGACGTCGAATGATATGTTACAATGTTTGCTAACTAGCGATCGCCTGCATTTGATTTTTGTAGCATACATATTTGTCGGAATTACAAATTTCGAACCAGGCCACTAAAGATTGGTCAGTGGCCTATTCTGCCGATGTATCTACGTAAACCCACGTTTGGCTGTGTGGGATAGCAGTAAAATGTATATTTTGTGGATATTCATAGAAATGCATTATATGATCCCATGTCTGGACCTGGAAGTGTGGTACCTGCCCCATGGCAATAATTTTAATGTGATGCTAGAAGGAGCATCACATGAAAATTGCTATATATGGGGTGGATACCCTATTTACCAGGCCCAAACACGGGATCATATAAAGCAGTCTATATATGGTATATAAGGAATTGGGCAGATATGGCTATATCTATCCATATACGGCCTGATTATGCATATGTGGTCATATCTGCCCAATTCCTTGTATATCAATATCTGTATTTTCATTATAAGTCTAGATATGACATTTTTGTAAGGGATGGCTTGTAGCATCAGCTGCAGTACATCGGAAGGTGAAATAGTAGGTGTGTCACTCTATTAAACTACTTCTATTATATTCAGGTGTTGCCTGATACGGTTTAATATACGGTTAGACCCACTCCGGTGAAGCTCCACGGATTGGCCAGATACGGTTCAGCTTCCGCTTCGACCAATTACGGTTGGGTTTCCGGACTGGGTATTTCCGGTTCATTTACGGTTTCTAGAAATCCGGTTTGCTTAGGGGCCCATATGACGGATTAAAATTCCGGATTCATTCCGGTTTATTTTGAAACCGTTTTTTTGGTAGGGCATCTTTGATAGCCACGTCTATAATTGATTTGGGAGAGCCTTGAACAAAATGCCGATTTTTTTATGTGACATTCTTTTATGTGATGAACAACAAATTGATATGTCTTTGGGCTAGACAAAAACAAAATACACACCCTCAAAAATTCTCGAGTAGGGCATGAGATACTACTTTGTTTTATTTAACAAGAATCACAAATTAGGAAGGGTGATGCTTATTTGCAAATTGAATTGTCCAACATCTTGACAAACCTTCACCTCCAAGCTATGCCGAAAATATTCATTTGGGCACGCGCTATAATAGGCAAGATTCGATCTGAGTAAGAAAGGTGCGTACACATTAGAGAGAAAAAATTTGAGTCACTCTTTTCTGCATGATTTTTGGCCTGCATCACGGTACTGAGTGTAAACAATGTTGATCAGGAAAACAAGCGTTGTGATTGCCGCTCAGTGTTTCTATAAAAAGAAGATGAAAGGGCTGGTCCTAAAACTTTTGACTTTTTGAAATTGAAAATATTACTGCTTTTGGCTTAGTTGCGTCGTCATCATATATATTGTGAAACGTATTTGGCGAACTAGATTGCACGACATATATGGCGAGGAAGTGCCCATTCCAGGATTTCATGCCACTGTAATTAATTCCTAACTTCAAGAGCACAACTAGGATTCAACTTTTAATACTGCGACGTAAAGTTGTACCAACCATGAATAGTTTAGGCGACCTACCTGACTTCGGGATAACTTTTCGATTCAGGTTAAATATGTGCGACTTAGGTAAACAAATAGATGTTGAGTCGCATACACACGACATTTTGTATGTTAATCTAGCATTTCTTTTACTGCTTCGTCGAAGTTAAATAGTGAAATTTTTTACTTTTGGCACCTGATAACAAAAGTTGATTGTGCGAATGATAAAAAGCCATATAGATACTCGTTTTACAGTGGAAATATTGGCTATGGCCAAAACAACCCGGCAAATACATTCTCAATTTAGTTGTTCAAACCGGTTCGAACCGTTATTTTTGCTCCCCAGAAATGAATCGGAACAGAACCGAAAGCCATAAATTCGAGTCTAAACCGAACCGAAAAAAATTTCGGTTTGACACTCTGCCAAGAGGCATAACAAAATGAATGAGTTATTGAATAATTCCCGAAAGTTCGTTTGAAATGAGCGCTCAGTTTTTGTAAGCTCAATCTAAATTCTTATCTTGCGCGTAACTGCACTAGAACACCAATATTATTTATTACTTGCGTGTTATTCACCAAAATCCACAATTGTCTAAGAAGGCTGCAAAATAAACGTAAAAAAAAGAGAAAACACTTAGACACTGATCCCCTTGACGAAATATCATTCATTTTTGAGAGTGCGAGATTTCACGTGATTAGGACACGTTACGACGCGTTAAGGCTGTAATGAGCACGTAGACGTTTTTTTTAGAATGTATAGCCACCGAAAAGTAAAAAAAACGCAGTGACTTATTACGTCCATCTTCTTGCTTCGCGATTCATTCGTCGCAGTATGAATGGACGCGAAGCGACAATGGAAATGCTTGGGATTCGCCACATCCGTTGTTTGTTAAGTTGCCGGAGAATGTACGGCGAGCGAGTGTCTTAAAATTCGTCTCTGGCGCATCGAAACGCAAAGGGAGGCATGAGTTTCCCACGCGGTGCGCAAGTTGGTCTGCTTCTTATGAAGGGGTTGTGGTGACGTGAAAACGCCGAGCTCTGATTGGCTCTCACTGAAATATAGTGGGTAGACCTCAAAGCCAGCTGCCTTCAGGTCTACCCACTATATTCAAGTGAGAGCCAATCAGAGCTCGGCGTTTTCACGTCACCACAACCACTGCAAAAGGAGCAGACCAACTTGCGCCCCGCAAAGGGGACGCGTTCCCTATATAGGGAATGCGTAGAGAACGTGTTCTTTATATGGCTCGCCCCGTCATTGGTTGAGGTCGAGGAGAAAGAAGCGTACGTGGGCGCATTTGAGGGTTAAACAAGCGGACGAGGTGCGCGAGAAGCGGACGAACTTGCAGGCCGTACAGTTCGTCGACGGGTTTACCCACCAGCAGTATGCAGATGTCGTTCTTGAAAGTTTTCCTCTCGAAGTCCGGATGCCTCAGGAACATTGCGACACGTCTCTTGGTGCCCCTCTTAAAGTTGGCGCTGCCGTAGAAGACGGTCATCTTGTCGACTTCTTTGCCCTCCCTGCGTAGAGGCAGACACTGGGCGTGTTCAGTAGCGGCCAGCAATCTTTCAACTAAACGGCAAAAAAAAAAAAAAAAAAAAAGCTTTTGGTGCACGTATACTTAAGTTTTTGGAGTGAAGTTCCCGTGCACCGAGTTGGAAATGCGTCCTATCTTGCTCTTTTGACTCCTCATGCACCACGAGGAGTCAAAAGAGCAAGATAGGATGCATTTCCGGATTGCGGACTAAGTTCCGGTGCGGAAAGAGAGAGAAAAATAAAAATGGCTGCTTCGGCTGCAGCGTGGGTCTCCGGTTTCTCACTTTTGGTAATGAAAGGTGCTCAAGGTAAGACGAACAACGCGTTTGACTTTCGTTTTAAGCTCGGGCTCTTTTAGGCAAATGCCTTGGAGCGTATTTGGTTTGTTTCGGACATGCTAATAAAACACCCGAGCGTTCACTTGTCGCCGTGTTTTGATCGCCGTTGCACGGAAAGTCATTGATTATCGAGGATAGTCTCGTCTGTGATGGACACAGCAAGGCAGGGTATGAACGTGACTTTGGCACGCGAATGGACAATCACGCAGGACACGACCCCGATTAATGTTTTGTTTGCGCAGCTAAATGAGGGTGCATGCGAGCATGAGAGGTCGGCTGATGCTAAACTCGGCCGACAGAGCCTTGATCGTAAACCGTGGCTGACTTCCCTCGTGTACACGAATACAATTTATAGGGAGTTCGTAAAGTGCAGAGCAAGCGTACGACCGTAGTAAAGTATCGTAACCGGCGGCGTAGGTACTCCGAGCTCTACGTTTTGCGTGTGTTGAATTTTTTGTCGGTTTTTATAACGGTGTAGCAGCCCTTGCACCGCCCTTCGAAGAGCTCGATCGCTTTGGATGGTTGTGAACAGCAGCGCTGACGCCACCAGTCACTCGCTTTTTCTTTTTTTTTTGTCGACTTTGTGGATACTTTTTTAATACCGGCGTCAAATAAAAGCGATCGTGCTCGGCGTCGTCTGCTCGCATTTTATTCCGAGACCGTCTGCAAAGGCGAGAAAGCGGAAGAGTAGCGCTTTTTTGCCGTTGAGTAGACGCTCCGAAACACTCACTTGAGTCACTCCGTTCGAAGCTAAAGAAGTCGCTACTGAAGGTGCCCATTATAAAACACCGTACACCATAAAAAATATCAAAACAATAGCAGCGACTCGTGTTTTCCGCGGAGCAGGCGGAGCACCAATCACTGTGACGTAATAAAGAGAAATTGAGGCGGCTCTGTATTTGAGGAGAAACTCTTAAATCGTCCTCATTTCACCTCCAGGATCACCAATATGCAGATTATTATATATATATATTTTTAGTTTGACGCGCGGAGGCTGCAGAAAGTCATTTCCAAAGTATCGCTTAAGCCCCTCCTTCCCGGAACGTGACGACATATCAGGAGTTTTCGGTATCTCCGCTTTCAGGCATCTTCAGCGCCCATCAAAGCTATGCACGTGCACCCTTAATGAAAAAAAAAAAAAAAAAAAAAACATCCGAAAAGGACGTCACGAGTGGTGTCAGTGCGAGAGAATATTCGCGACTCTAGCGTCTTTTCCGATAACAGTTCGCACAGTGATATGTGCCAGCTCAACGCACAGCGCTCGGGCATCAGCAGGCAAGCGTTGGACTCAAAAAGGTTTGCCTCGATTTCTATCCTACACGTTTTAAACTTGCGGTGGTGTGTTAGCCTAAGCGAGTTTCTAGAAGCTTGACTTTGGAATTAAAAACAGCGCGGGAAGACGAGGACCAGACAAAGAAGTGACACGGACGTAGCGCTGACCAGCGCTACGTCCGTGTCATTTCTTTGTCTGGTCCTCATCTTTCCGCGCTGTTTTTAATTCCGAAGTATGTACCAACTCGCCCAAGCGTCAACTTTAGCTTGATTTTCTTCGAGGAAGCGATGAAAGGACTGCATGCCTACTGTTCTTCCATGGTGCTGATGAACGTTGATAAACGTGGAATGCCTGGCTTACGCGGATGCGTAGGTTGCGTGCAGAGCTACCTGGGAACAAGCTGATACCACAGCTACGACAGAGTCACCGGGACAACTGGGACGAGCGAAAATCGCGAAATGACCCGTTCCGGCCAGTTCAGTGTTTTCCCGCTAGGTGCAGTCCGTTTTGCTGGAGCCGCGAGTACCTGGCAAGCGTGCGATTGCACACGCTGCCCACAGGAGTGGCACGAGCTTGGCGGCCGAAAGATCTGGGTTTGACGTAATGACTGGTCGGAGGGTTTTGAGAAGAATTGTCTGGACGAGAAACGTCCATTTTTCCTCCGCTCTCTTCGATTTGCTGTTTAAACAACATCACAGGAAAACTCTCCCCTTGATAGGTAATTTAAGAACTGTCTCACCAATCCGCGACCACGAGCAAGAGATCTGCTCCGCAGATACAATCGAGTACCAACATCGACGGCCAAAAGAAGGCGGTGAAGGACCGTCTCCCTCCTTTTAGCGTTTGCCAACCCCATCTACTACGATCACTTCAACTGATTCTTCCAACTGGTTGTTTGACCCTTACACGCCAAGCAATGGGGTACTCTGGAGAAACACCACAGAAGAAAATATGCCTTCCGTCGGACGGAGCAAGCACTTCGGACTACTCAATAAGAGACCAAATTGACGTGATCTTGACAAGACACCTTTCGCAACAGTGAAATACCGCAAAAAGCGCTTAAAAGGCATACCCATCCTCCTCAAGTCAACGAAGGCACAGTCCTTCTCGAAAGTGAACCCTAACCGCATCGCAAACAAACTTTCCACCACAGCACACGAAAGGTGAGCTCACATAATATCACCAAAGGTGGAAGCCTTGTGGTCAGTGTTGCCTCTTTGTCGTCAGCAAATAAGCTTCTAGCCTTGAAAACTGTTGCTGGAATTGATGTCGCGGCAAATATGCCGCAGTCTTACTCAAAGAATCTGGGCAAGACAAAGTCCCAAACGAGCACACAGATGAACAACTCCTGGAGTATCTCACTGACAAAGGGATTGCGTCTGTCAAGCGGCAAATTACCTACGTACCTCAAGGCGACGGAAGTGTCGTCAAGCATCCACGAGACAGCGTCATCTTACAATTTAGAGAATGCTGTCCAATGCCCCCACGAGTTTTCCTGGGGTTCACCATTCATCCGGTGGAAGAATTCTTTGGACAGGCGGTACGCTCTTTCCGCTGCCAAAGGCATGGACACGTGGCTAATGCGTGTCGCGCACCACAGCCATGCAAGATGTGCACAGTCGCATATAACCATAAAAAATGCAGCTCCAGAAACCATCCGAAGTGCGCAAATTGTTGTGGACCTTATGCTGCATCTTTCGCGTGTTGTGTGCGAAAAAAAGAAATAAGAGCATTACGTAAACACGAACTGATTCACGACAAGACAACTAAGCGTCATTCGCCACCACTAAATCCAGATGCAGTGAGACCTGTGTCTCCTGCGCCTCCAAACCCAATACAGAAAAGATCAAGATATACCTACGCTTAAACCATGGGAGCTGTCGGACCTGCGGCACCACTACCAGAAACACCGCCGGCACCCCCCCCCCCCCTCCCCCCCACCCGATACCACCACGACTTCCTCCAGGGATTCCTCCACGCAAGTCAGCAAAACGCGACTCAACGCCGACGCCAACGCCTCTGACAGCAAGAAAAGTTGAGCTACAGATAGCCGACGCCAGTCCATATTCCATGTCTCTCCGACAAAACACAACTGCCCGATCCGAAAAGCTATAAGGAGTATTCACTGGGCGCCATATTTGTGGGTGCTGTCTAGAGCGCATGCTCAGAACGAGCCCACATTAATAGGCTGCTAAGACTGGCAATCTCGAGGGTGCGGAATGCACGTTACAAAAGAACTGTGGAAGCTCGCCGTCAGCACGCGCTCAGCAACCACGCACACAGATATGGATGCCAGTGAATACTCCCTATAGACGCTTTACACACGCGCCAGAATACAGCCGCCATTGCTGACCTTCTCTTGTTTTACCGAGATACCGAGAAACTGAAATTGGTGTGGACGAGCCTTCACAAAGGCCAATGCTGGGGAGAAAGACAGAATAGAATCTAGGATGGCAATGACCTCGCCTGCTATGGTAATAATGAAGTGAAGTAAACGTAATAAGGGGAAGCAAAAACTGAAGGTCAGTTATGGCGGCGCCCATGCACAGCTGCTGCAAAGCGTCTATAGAAGCTGCTGCTCCTGAATCTGTTTGCTGCCTTGAAGGCAATTGTTACAACACTACCGGAGGCTAGAGACCTTCCTGAAGTGAAAATTCTGCTTTCAATGGAGCATATCCTTACACATTCGAGTGCTCAGAGTGACTCAAATTCTACAAATGAATGATCGGCACCGACAGGCCTTTCTGTTCCAATGGAACGCAAATGGTCTGCCATCAAAAAGCAGCGTCTTTCGGCAGTCCGTTGCTCTCCATCAGTTCCCAATTCTGGCCATCTCTGAAGCACGAGTCACAGCCCCATTCCGACTGTCCAACTATATGACCTATCAAACGACACGACCTTCCGGCCCCAGTCGGGAAATGTTGTGTGTGCGAAATGACCGGACATCAAATCTATGTGGCTTGCAAAGTGAACATCGGTAACGTATGCCTAGTCATTGCAAATGTTTACTTTGAACCCTTTACACCTATCACTCTTACAGAGTTTTCCCGTATGATCCGGAAGCTTGGGAAAACATTTGTAGTTGCTGGGTGACTTCAACGCCCACAATCCTCTCTGGGGAAGTGATCGATGCGATATTCGTGAGGATATGATTTCTAACGCAGCTAAAAATCTTGACCTAACGATATTGAATGATGGATCCGCAACATTCTTACGCAATCCTACATATTCTAATTGTTTAGACCTAACACTTTCTTCCCACAACTTATCTTCTGGAATGGATTGGCGCACAGATGCCGAGACAAGGGGAACTGATCATTTTCCCATCCTCGTGTGTCAACCTAAACTTTTGCACTCTACTCAGAAG